AACAGACAAAATGGCGGATCACAGACAAATTTCGGCGGCAAACGCAATTCTTGTCACTCTCTCATCTTTGGCCGCTGCTTTTCAGTTGTGTGGATTGATTTTAACATATTTGATTCTTGAAAAACGTCGTCTTCAAATGGTTGGCTTTCAAATCGCTAACCAGTATGATATTGCCGTGGCCCGACTTCGAAACGCTCCGAGACAAGCCTGCCGCCGAGGAAGAATTTGGCGAAAACCTGGGCGAACAGAGCAGTGGTGGCTCAATCTATTCAATGGAATTTTACCAGAATCGGAGTGGAAAAAGAATTTTCGAATGGATCGTGGCGTTTTTATGACACTGGCCGACGAATTGGCTCCATATCTTCGACCTGGCAGAAGCCCACGTGGCCTTGATGTGCTTTCAGTCGAAAAGCAAATTGCTGTTACGTTATATTTCTTGAAAGACCAAGGATCACTCTTGATGACAGGCAATACTTTTGGCATTTCAGTAAGCACGGTTTCCGTGGTTATTCGGAAGGTATGTGAGACTATTACTCAAGTAATGGGACCTAATTACATCAAACTCCCCACTAACACCAGAGAAATGGCACATCTTCTCAGAGGAATGGAAAACAAATACGGATTTCCACAGGCGTTCGGTTGCGTTGATGGAACACATATCGCTATTATGCAGCCAACGGAAAACCCCCATGATTATTTTAGTTATAAACAAAAATACACCCTTAATGCACAAGCCGTTTGTGATTGGAGAGGAATGTTTATTGACGTTGAAGTGAAATGGCCAGGGAGTGTGCACGATGGTAGGGTGTTTGGGAATTCACTAATTAACAGGTTGCTACGAGAAGAAAAGTTACCCATGATATACAAAGAGCTTCTTCCTGGCCATGACAAAATTCCTGTTACACTTCTTGGAGACCCAGCATACCCATTATTACCATACTGCATGAAAGAATTTGCTAGTCCCCGTACCAATGAGGAAGTCATTTTCAATAACATGCTGAGAAGTGCAAGAAACCCCATAGTATGTGCATTTGGGCGTCTGAAAGCAAGATGGCAGATTCTTAATAAAAGAATTGACTTAGGGTTGACATTTGTTCCAAAACATAGTATATGCCTGTTTTGTGCTTCATAACTTTTGTGAAAAGCATGGTGCCCAGTTGGAGGATGAGGCAGTAGCACGGCAGCTTGCAAATGAGAGGATGCAGCCCAATATTGCTCCTGACAGGCTTTATTCATTCAACACTGCTGAGGGAACAAGCACCAGGGACATTATTACTCTTTTTTATAGAGAGCACATTCCTCATTGATTACTAGCTTCTTTCTCCCTTCCGAGTTCCTAATTGGAATGTAATGTAATGCTATTAGGGAGGGGGATTTTTTTTTGGGGGGGGGGGGGGCTTTGCCAGGTATCAGGCCATATCGTAAATGCAGCAATTTTGAGAACTGATGCATTTCAATGCTTAAAAGCAGTAACAGATTTGGGTTTCAATTTTTCATATACTCAATTTTACTTCCTTCATTGTTCTTTCATTCAATTTCAGCTCTGTTATTGCTCAATTATTAAATTTCAGTTCAATCAATTCAATTAGTTATTAATATTATGTTGTTTGATAATAATATAAATAATTTGTGATTGTCAAAAGTACAATACATTATTAAGGCGCTGTTACACGGTGCAATGTTTTCTAAGAATTTGGTTCTACTTTCCCAATGCATTGCAGCAACTCGTCTTGGGCATTACAGAGCATGTTATGCACTGCAATGGTTTGTGCAACTTGTCTCCCAATGCCATTGCAAGACAAGTTTCAGAAAACATTGCCCCTTGTAATAGTGCCTTTAATCTCTGTGTTTCATCATGTATCTGACATAATTATGTTGATATATATTTTCAACAACTGGAACGTACTGTATACAAGATATTTGTGATAGTCAAAATTAAAATATATTATCAATCTCTGTGTGTCATCATGTATCTCACAATCTAAAACTTAATAAAATTATGCTGATACATCTTCAACTGGAACAATAAAATAATTGATTATCAAAATTTAAAAATATTATTAATCTGTGTGTTGTCATGTATCTCACAATCTATTACAACTTGAGCTGCATAATTATGCTGATTGCATACATTCGTAATTGGAACATATAATGATTGTGACAGGGTTTTGCCTTTCACTGAATAATTTGCTTCACAGTGGATAGGAAACCATTGTCAAACACTCTAGTAAACTCAACAAAAAAAAGTCATATGGTACAGAGTTTTCCTCATGATCTGCTGTTGTACATACTGCCATCATCCCCAAAGTCATACAAGGTCTGATTAGCTGCGCTTACAGCCCCATGAGTGGTTGGTAGTGATGACTGATTTCTGGTACTAGTGCTACTGGTGAATTGATGGTTATGTTGCACATAACCACTGTAATGGCCAGGATACATATTTGGCTGGGCTTGTGTTACTGGAAATGCAGGTCCTGGATGGTGAGGAGCAGGAGCTTGATTCTGGGATAAAGCCATAGCTAACATCTGCATCCCAGCCGCAATGCCTTCCCCCAGAGAAGTAAGACATGTTGTCATCTTGGTAATAGAATCCTCTAGAGTTTTGTTTGATTTTTCGAACATTTCCATCATGCTCTTTTTCATTATAACATCTTCTTTTGCACTATTCATAAGGACTTGGTCCCTTTGTGCTTGTGAAAGTCTTTTTTCCATGTGTTTCCGTTTATTATCAACAAGTTTGGGGATCATTGATTGCGGTATTACATTCTTCCCATGCTCAGGCTCATTGTCATTTGATGTGGGGTCTGAAGGTGAAAACTGTAGTGTCAATAGATTATACAAATGATGTAACTAGAACAGTGAGCCATCATGGGTGCACTTTACTTTTCCAAGTAACCATAGTATGAAAACAGTTAGTTTCAATTGGGCCAATAAAATTTCAAGCACACGGGCTGAAAATTTCTGTCGCAAAATGGCTGAAAAGTTGGGAAATTTGCAGCCTGTANGGGGGGGGGGGGGGGGGGGGTTAAGGGGTTAAAAGTGCGGACTGTGGTATCTCCACATTCCACACATAAAAGCCAGAAAAATCTGATCTGCTAGTGTCCAATCCAGCAACTTTGCTCTTCAAAATACAGTGATGAAATTGTTAGGCTTCTGGTATAAAGACTCAAATAGTCATGATAGAGCGGATTTCAGATGAGTGTCAGAAATAAAAGTCAGGCTTGTGTTTTGTCAGCGTTTCTATTGGTTGAGAGCAGACTGTTTTGCATTTCAGCCAATCAAATTGTGAACTATCAAACCATGCAATGTTCTCCGTCATGACTAAACAACTAAAGGCTGGTTCTCACTGGAACGCAATTACAAGCGCAACATTCAAGCGCAAGACAAGTGTGAATCAAAGCGACGCAAATGCAAGTGCAAGTGCAACGTCTTGATTTCCTTGCGCTTCCATCTGCTCTTGCATTCTAGTGTGAACCACATAAAGGGAAATGTATGAGTTCAATATCCTTGTGCTTGCGTTGCAGTGAGAATTAACCAGCCTTCACTTTGCCTCATGATTGGTTTGTTGTTGAATTACTTCTGCTCCTGATAGGCTAGTGGTTGTGGTTTTGTACTTGCGTTTAGTTTTCGACACTCATCTGAAATCCGCTCTATCTACTATGAGCAGAGTTTAGAACTGCCTGGAAATCATAAGATGATAAGGGAGGGGATAGGGTGTCTTGATAAGATATGGCATGCATGAACAAGCAGAAGTAAGATCCTCAGAGACCTATTTGGACAGGACTCTCATTTGACTTGCATCAGATATTGCAGGAGAGCAACGTCTATAATTACACCACTACCCCAAATCTGAAAAGGAGATTCAAAGTTTGTGTGTTTTGCAACATATTACACAGTATTTATTTTAAAAGCTTACCATCATGGTGACTGGTGTTGGGGGTAGAGCTACGGCTTTGTGTATCAGAGGACTCGTTTAAGCTATCGCTTTCATTTGGGCCAAGTGAATCACCGTCGATTCCAAACGATAACGCAGTCGTGGCTGGTGATCCTCCCCAAATGTCTGTCAAAAAATCGTAATGCTCTTTCACAATGCGCCCGCTCCCGCTTCGTGAGCCTTTGTTAACGGCGTTGCGATAATCTTGCCTTAAAGCCTTGGTCTTTTCCTTGATTCTGGAACACCCACTCTTTATTAGCGCCTTTTCTGCCTCACTTTCC